AATTGTAAATTTGATTTACATAATTGTAATATTATTTTTAATTTAATAAAGAATTAAAAAATTTAATCAAAGTATTTTTTGTAATTTTAAATTTCAATTTTTTGAGATGTTGTCGAAAATGAGTATCCTGATTGTTTGTTGTTTACAACAAACAATTAGGATTATAAGGCGTTCGATACATCATAAAAAAATTGCACAAACCACTTTGCCGAGCTTACTTATAAAGCGAGCTAACAGAGCGACCCGTATTATACAAGAGTATTAAAATACCAGGATAAGGCAGATGTTGGAGATTGCTACGAGCATTCACTACAAATTTGAAGTCAAGACTGAGATCGAGACAAAAATGATATATGAACAACAGTAAAATCGAACAACATCAATAATATAATTTAATATAAAAGAAAAAGGTTATTTATATATTTTATTTAATAATCTTCTTGTATGAATTTACATATTATTAAATTTAATTTATCAATTAATTTTTTTTTATCTTTTTCATTTAAAACTTTATCTTGTTTAATTTTTTTTCTTATTTCATTAGCTGTATTAAAATCTTTTATTTGATTAATTAATATAATAAAAAGATAATAAGAATATCTACTTGCTCTTTTATGATAAAGGTTTTATTTTTAGTTTTAAATTTAAATTTGATTGTTCAATATTAGTAAATATTTTTTCATTTTCAAGAGAAGTAAGTATTTCATAATTTTTGAATGTAGTTTTTTTGATTATTGAATTAATTTTATAGTATTTTTCAGGATAAAAAGCTAATTCTACAATTAATTTTGCATCTTGTAAAATTTTATTTGTTTCAATTTCTTTGTTATTATAATATCTGCATGAAAATACAAATATTTGATTAATTAATAAAAATAAAACTAATAAGTTTTGAATTAATATTTTATTATAATTTTTTATTTGAAGTTATATTTATATATTTAGCTTTAATTTATATAAATATAAAGATTAAATTGTCTTAAATTTTTATAAATAAAAATAGATGAAATATTACAAAAACTTGAACAAATAAAACAAACATATGGTACAGATGATTTTGAAGCTGCATTTGAACTTTTAAAAGAAACAGTTCATGAATTACGTGATAATTTTAATGAAGCTCTTAAAAATAAAGATGAAAATATAAATTCATTACTTGGTGCTATTGAAACAGTTATAATAAATCTTAATTATTATAAAAATTTAAGTTTGAAAAATCTAAAAAAAATTTAAAATTTTTAT